TCAAATACAGCCACATGCACACCGTACCAAACACATAGTCACTTGCACTCTGTCAAACGCACAGCTGCAGGTAGACAGTAACACACACAATTACAGACAGACAGTCACACACACACACACAGCTACAGGCAGACAGTCACACACACACACACAATTACAGGCAGACTGTAACATAGTTACAGGCAGCACACAGTCACACACACTCAGTGACATGCAGACAGTCACACACAGTCCCAAGTAGACAATCACAGGCAGACATTCATACATACATGCACAGATAGTCACAGGCAGACATTCACACACACACACAGGCAGACAGTCACAAGCAGTCTCTCACACACACACACACTCACACCCACACTCTCTCTCTCTTACCTACTGGTGGAGGAGTGGAGTCAGTGAGTCCCTGATGTGTTGGAGTTGGGGAAGCAGTGAAAGGCAGCAAATGGAGGCTGGATGTAGCTCCGCCCCCACATCCAGTTTGGCTCCGCCTCCACGGCTGAGTTGACTCCGCACCCAATTCTCTGTGCAGTACTTCTGTACTGCTGAATTCCCAGCCCCTGCGTGTGTGAGCTGTGGCTCTACGTTATATAAATGATAAGTTATTTACATTACAAGTTAGTATGGACCCATGATTAAGTTGTAAGTTGTACAGTATTTAAACTTTATATATTAGTAGGAGAGGTACTAAATATGGGCCTTCAGTTAAAGGGACATTATAGTCACCAAAACAACTACGGCTTAATGTAGTTGTTCTAGAGCGTATAGTCAGTTCCTGCAGTTCCCTTGCAGTAAACACAGATTTTTCAGAGAAAAGGAAGTGTTTACATTGCTCCCTACGAACGCCTCCAGTGGCCATTCCTCAGATGGCTACTAGAGGGGTTTCCTGGACTAGTACTGCGCTGAAGACATGTCCACAGATAGTGTTAAATTCTGAGTTACCCACAAACAAGGTCATTGATGAATGGAGGAGAGGGAGGCCATCTTTTACACATCTACTTTCCCAAAAATTCTAAAAGTGTGAAGTGTTTCCATATTGGAGGGGTGGGGGTAGGGCGTTAATATCCACGGAAAAGTCTTGAGGGGAATTTTCGCACCCTCAAAATGTCCTGGGAAAAGAGATCCATTTCAACATCTGTGAAATTTGTACAGTGTGATATGACAATAATTGTGAAGGAAATTAGAGACCGCCATGAATTTTTATAGATTTTTTTTCATGTCTTATGGCTGTTTAACATAACCGCAGCCTGATGAAACAATGTTTTCCTTGTTTATGAGATGCAAAGAGATAATCAGCATTTTAATCTTGTTTTTTTTCAATGAACAAATTGTTGTTTTTAACCAAAGCCTTCTGAATGTCTTCTTTGATCAAGTATCTAACCATGTATATACAGAGGAACCTTTACATAGATCAGATGAGCCTTTATCATAATATTTTAAGTTGTCTGAAACATGTTTGGAATAACAAAGCTTCTATAATGGAAAATTTAAATTTCAGAGGTCTGATTACAACAATGGAAATCATTCACTAAACTGTTACACAAAGTGCAATGTTTCAAATGTCATATAACAAAATGTCATATAATATTATTATTAACAATAATAATAATAATAATAATAATGAGTGGACACATATGACTGCTTTTACAGATGAAGGCACTTGGGATGGATTCTTGTAGAGAGAATAGATGCAGGGCTAACGTGTGGGGCAGCAAACACTGATGTTTGGGATCCTCTCAAAACCAACAAGTATATTGGTAAAAAAACAAAAGGTTAGAAACAGGTTACACCTCGTAATAGTAGGAAGTGTACAAAACTGACAGAATGTAAATCCAAAAAAAGAAGTCCAGATATTTATTATATTTTGCTTTATTATTTATAATAGTCTAAAGTAGGTTCTTATGAGGAGAAACTTTATATGGGATGGATAGTTAAGGTAACAGTAAATAAAGAGCTACCAACTAGCTTAAAGGACCACTATAGTGCCAGGAAAACATACTTGTTTTCCTGGCACTATAGTGCCCTTAGGGTGCCCCCACCCTCAGGGACCCCCTCCCGCCCGGCTCTGGAAGGGGGAAAGGGGTAAAAACTTACCTTTTTCCAGCACTGGGCGGGGAGCTCTCCTCCTCCGATCCTCCTTCGTTCCTCCCCGTCGGCTGAATGCGCACACGCGGCAAGAGCTGCGCGCGCATTCAGCCGGTCACATAGGAAAGCATTATTAATGCTTTCCTATGGACGCTGGCGTGCTCTCACTGTGAAAATCACAGTGAGAAGCACGCAAGCGCCTCTAGCGGCTGTCAATGAGACGGCCGCTAGAGGGAATGGGGGAAGGCTTAACCCATTCATAAACATAGCAGTTTCTTTGAAACTGCTATGTTTATAAAAAAATGGGTTAACCCTAGCTGGACCTGGCACCCAGACCACTTCATTAAGCTGAAGTGGTCTGGGTGCCTAGAGTGGTCCTTTAAGACCAACAATGTGTAGTGGTATAATTCTCACTTAGGAAGTAGAAGATGCATTTACCTGGAGGACATGCAGCGTGAGTAGATGTAATCTTGATGACAGATTGATGGAGCATTAGACATGTGCAATTCGTTTTGGTCTGAATATGAATTTGGACGAATTTCAGGCAATTCGGACATTCGGGTACTTCACAAGTCACTTTATGACGATGAAAATTATTATCATAGCACCATTTATAAAACAGTGATATAGAATTTTACACTATGAAAATAAAATTTTGAAAATATTTGGAATAATAAATTCTATGACATTGTGGTTTACACAATTACTGAAGAATAAACCAATTTTTGGAATATTTACATCAACTGTAAGTGGAACATATTTTCTTAGGCTTAATAAATGCCTTAATCAAACGTACGGACTCTGCTGTGCTATAATGTCTATCCGTATTGACTGCAGTGTCATAAGACAGTTTACAGCTTACTTAAAGCAATGTCAAGTGTCATTAACTTTCAGGTTCATTGACTGTATGTTTAAAATATTGAAAACGCAATGACAAAATGGCATTTTGCGATTACTGCCAGATTTTTCTCATTTGTCTGCCAAGACATGCCAATGACCAGAAAATATAAATAATTTTGATTTATGCTGCTGAAGTCTGGCATTATAGGACTTGAGGCTTAGTTATTAATCTGCAGTGCTGCCAATCCATGTGGAATAAAGTCTTATTAGAAAATACGAATAAATCCCACTGAAGATATTAATGTCCCTTGTAACCTTTCGGAGCAAGTGAGGTATTGGTTTGACTATTAAATATAGTGTATTTTAAAGAATAAAAAGGCAGTATCGGATAGCATTAACCTTGAAACCCCAGATGTCCGTAAGTGAATTATTTCATGATGCTAAGACAGATTATTCCATTACTGGTTTAACTCACTGATTCCTAATCCTTTTATGATAGGAAGCAATATTACATACATGACTTTAGCTTTTGTGACACATTCTTCAACTGTGAAAAAATATTTCAGTTATAAGATAATGTAAACGGATATGCAATAAAAACAAAAGTTCAGTGCAATGTCCTAATTAGACTTTTCCTAATGTCAAAGTGGGTATCTTTGCACTGCTCTATAACATTAATTTAGCCAGTACAATGAAATAGCATGGGAACTTGAGTCTAAACTCTGACACATTGGTTAAAATCCGTTGCTTTGTATCAAGAATTGGCAATTGACGGTTCTCTACCTATTGGGAATCAAAACTCCCAATCACCCTGATTTAGATTGTAAGCTCTTCTGTGGAATGGAATCTGATTGATATGTGTCACACAATCTGACAAGAAAGCTTAGTAAAACTGGCTTGGTGAAAATGGCGTGACTGGCACTAGACTATTTGCTTAGACCTTGCTAATCCGTCTATCATTTAGATTACACAATAATGTAATCGTCTTGGTCTTTACTTTGACTAAAATGAAATGAATCACTTGCTGCCAATATCTCAATCTTAGCCACAATACACTGGTTCTGGTTGTAGACAATCATAGTAAATCAAAGTTTAAAGAATATTTAAAAGGACACTATTGTCAGCAGAACAACTACAGCTTATTGTATTTGTTCTGGTGAGTAGAATCATTCCCTTCAGTTTTTTCTTGTAAACACTGTCTTTTCAGAGAAAATGCAGTATTTACATTACAGCCTAGTGATAACTTCACTGGCCACTCTTCAGATGGCTGCTTCCTGGGGCAGTGCTGCACACTGTGACTGTGACCCTCTGCATGGAGACAATAAACGTTTCTCACAGAGATGCATTGATTCAATGAATCTCTATGAGGAGATGCTGATTATCCAGGGCTGTGTTTGGCTTGTGCTGGCTCTACCCTTAATCTGCCTCCTTGACAATGTGAGCAAAACATTGTGATTGGCTCACAGAATCACTTCTGATGATGATTAAATCCCAGCAATGTTGCTGAAGCTCAATTGCTAAACTTGTCACTACCCTAATCAATGAATCCTTGGTGTCTGGATATATATCCAAACTTTGGAAGACTGCAAAAGTAGTACCTATCCATAAAAGTTGGGACAATACTTTATCTAACTATCGTTCAATATCATTGCTCCCTGTATTATCAAAAATCTT